AACATTTTGCATGCCCATGACCGTCGAATTAGCGTCCACACAGCTTCCCAGACGACAGCTCGAGGACCAGTGATTAACCATTCCGCGTGCGTAGGCCGAGGAAGTAGTGATATACGTTTCGATTTCCGACTCCGTCGCGTTTTGCGGGATATTCATGGACGTGAGACCGGAGTTTGGGAGGGCGGAAAAGAGGGTGTGGATGAATGAGGCGATGTCCTGGGCATCGCGGGGATTGGAGTAGTAGACGTCGTCGCTGGGGCCGGGGATGAAGTTAGCGTCGAGGATGACTTTGCCTGAGGAGAGGAGACCCGAGGTGCCGTAGACGTTGAGGGTGATGGTGTTGTTGGTGGTGAAGTCGGAGTAGCCGGATGAATCGATGGTTCCTTGGAGAGCGGCGATGGAGCCGTCCGAGTGCGCGATCGTGGTCCAGAAGACAGAGGTTTCGGATGCGAATGTGTAGGGGCCGCTGCGGAAATCGAGGTAGAGAGCTGGGTCGCCAGCAGGAGGGGAGTCGTAGGAATAAGTGTACGATTCTATGGAATCACCTTGGAGTTCGATAAATGTGTTTGGGTTGTCGAAAAGACCGGCTCCAATTGCTGTACTGTTGATCCACTCTGCGCTGGTAAGATTTGGTGATAATTTTCCTGCAGCGGAGAGTTTGGAGAGGGTTTCTGCATCACCGATTCCGGAGTACATGAGGAGCGAGGGACTTTGGATCGCACCGGCTGATAAAACTACTCTTCCTGTTGGTGTAGTTGAGATGATAGTCTCGACGCCGTTGATCAAGGCTGTAACTCCTGTAGCGGTATCTCCATCGCGTTCTACTCTTACTACACGGACTCCGCTTTGGAGAAGGAAGTTACTGCGTTGAAGAGCTGATTGCAGATATGTGGTAACGGGACCTCCTCTTTGACCATTATCATAATCGAAAATTGGGTGGCCGAATACGTCAGTTTTGTCGTCGGCTTGAGCATTGATATCAACATCTTTGTAACCCAATCCATCAACTAACCATTTTCTCGCAGCATCATATCCAGTTTGAAGATAACGAATGCCATCCTGAGAAGTAAGATTAGTCGAAGGTTGGGTATCATACAGACGTTGAATGGAAGCATCCATGTTTGTCGAATTCCACTAAATGCAGGGTTAACATATGAATACTTGGATATTGGAAGCACAAGAATTCATCACTCACTTCAGCAGGGAAGTATAAATCCCAATCCGAAGCCGGAGGTTCAAAAAATAATCCAGCATTGATAGCTGAACTCCCTCCAATGGTACATCCTCCATAAGCATTTACTTCTGCTCCACACATGAGACCTCCTCCATCTGCAAAAATGGATTTATAAAGTCCAGGTACATCGACTCGTGTGAGATTTGTACCACTAAGCCATGCCTATTACATATTAGTAACTTCCTCGTCAATGTCAATTGAGAAGGCAAAAACTAACCGGTCTTCTTGAATCTAAATCTCCACCCGTAATCCCATAAGATTGATTACCTCCTTCAAGTAACAGAATCTTGAGACCTGCTTCGGAAAGTCGTGATGCAACTATAACATACAAGTCAACAAACGCACTTTTATATCCTCCCAATAAAAACATAACAAACTTCAGTACATACCAACAATTCCCGCAGGTCCAGCTCCCACAATAATAGCATCCCATTGCTCTTGAATCCAAGCATTATCCGCCTGTCCCCAAACACCACTCACCAAGCCAACAACCAGAGAAACTTGATATGAGACCTTCATTCTGACTTTGACTTATCGATTTCGATTTACAGAAAACTCATTAAAGACACAAGAAAAAACGGAAGTAACTTAGCTTGATACTTATATATACTGACATCACACATATTTGCACCAACCTATACTTACTGACCACAGCATGACTTCACACAGCACGACCAAATTGCCCTCTTCATCTAGACTCTAGGCGCCAAGCCCGCCTGTCGTCGATTAAAGCGAGCTTTAGATGCTATAAGCTTGTCGAAGGCTGACCATGTACCTTTTAACTCTGCGTGAAATGATACACAATTACCGTATTGATGCCGTACAACTTACCTGAGTAGTCTCAATCGTTACACTTTGGCGTCCATTACCAGAAATATTGCCGCTGAATCTCAGAATGGGTTATACAAATGAAGTCATGGGCTTTTCGTATCCGTGACTCAGTGACAGTTCGGTGGCGGAGGTTGTGTAATAAGTGGAGAAGAATGAATTGAGACTTCATTCCGAGGCTTAAATCGACTTCGAAATTCAAATCCTATTTTGGTCTCTTCAGAAACTAGATAGAATGCAGCATTAAGAAGCAAAAAGCCGATATCATGTTGATCGACGTCAAAACCGTATTTAGATATCGACCAGGGCCAACAGAACCCTACACTCGGTACTGAAGAAACTTTCAACAAATGAGCGTCAAGATAAATGTCGTACCTAATTATTCTTATTCTGCATGCACAAACGGACGGGTAAAGCCGAGTACGAGATGGTGGATAATAGGAAATATAGTCAAAAATCTTCCGAGAAAATCCCCCTTCTGGCATGCCGTCGATAGAACACAATTTCTTCGTACCCGCCAACCTTAACTTGCCTATTCAATTCTGGTGAGAATCGTGAGGGTGAACAATATACAAAAAAGTGAAGATCATCTATTCGTCTAATCTTAAGACCTCCCAAAACGCCGCCCAATGCAACCTCATTTTTGCTGTACATAATCCTACATAGCCCTATCATTTATAACCCTTTATATTCACCCAATCCCCGCCATTATACAATCGATTCCTGATCCCGCTGCGAGTTGGAATTTTCTAGTCGCTTCAAGATGTATTGATATAATACCAACATACAACTACTTTGCGTACTGGTCCACACAAATCTAGGTCCTACTCCTCGAAACAATCCCGTTATCCCTTCTGTTTTGTAGATGAGTTTGAGGCCAGTCGGGACGGAAGATGTATCGAGAATTATGCTACCAGGACGAGGTGTATGCGTGGAAGGAGATGATGTGGATATTGATCGAATTTGATATTTGGTAGGTTTTGCAGGTTTTGTAGATTTTGTCTTCGTACGGGTGGACTGCGAGGAATTCTTCGGAGATTCCGATGTCTGCTTAGGAGTAGACTCTGGACTGGAAATGACTTGAGTTTGAATCCTTGTCTTCACAACATCCAGAGGACATGTAATTACTCCTGCCAAACCTCCAGCTGCGGCTCCTGTCAAGAGTTCCAATGGCAATCCAATATCTCGGCTTTCTTTCCATCTTCTCGCCCAAGTTTGACCTTGCTCGTAGAATGCGAATTGTAATGCCGAAAATGGTAGATCTCTAACAATTGTTGCTCTGTATCCATAAAATAAAGCAGAGAACCCTTCTTGCTTAACTATCGTTCGGGCAGCATGCGCTGTGTTTTTGTAATTGTAACCGGAGTTAAAGAATGGGTTATTGTATCGACCTTGGAGTTGTAGACGGGTTTTGAGGACTTCGGAAGGCACGTAGACGAAGGAGGCTGCGAAATCGGCGACAAAACCTGGATTGTTAGTTTAACGTAAATTGAACCCAGATTTCTTAAACTTACCACTAGAAAGATATGCAAGCCATGGCGGAATGCCATTATCTATCAAATGCCTCTTACTATACTCATATGTTCCGAAGAATATGATTGTGCCAGGAAAAGATCCAAGAAGGGCAGGAACCCAACCTCCATATAAACCTCTCCGTATTCCTTCCTGTCGCAGAATGGTAGAATATGAGGAAGATAGCTTGGTATACTTTGGCGGAACATGCGGATCACCTTGCTGACGAGTCTTGACTGTATCCAAAGAATGCATAAGAAGATCTCCCGTGGTTCCACCAATACCCCCAGCAATCATGGCCTACAAACAATCAGTACTTTGCCTGTAGACCAAAAACTACAGAACTCACATGTAAATAAGGTGGTCGTCCCTCCTCATCGACCTCTTCCTGTGCCATAACTTTCGACCCAAGTAGTCGTTTTCCCACTCTAACATTGACGTCTCCTTCCCCTCCATCATCAACAATCCCGAATTTGGTGCGATCTTCTGCTGGCGAACCTGCTGATCCAGAGGAAAACAGGTTGGCAACACGAGAGGTCAGGGACATGGCCCTTCCTCAATTTTCGAAGCCGGTCACCTTCCTAGTCCTCGAGTATTCGAAAGGGCGCGTTTTCTATTACAGCGTTGGTAGGCAAATACAATTCATTTAAGTTGGGTGTCACAAATGTTTTTGATGCACTTCAACTTTTTTTGCCGGAATCTTCCACATCATGTGTGCCTGATTGAGGTTAAGGCACTTTTGCATGAAACGTGGGGTTGTTCCCCGGTGAACCTCTCCATCTTGGTCTGAGCTACAAAGTTTAATATGAATCATCAAAAAGATCTCCTACTTGGCCGTGAATCTGACTACCTACCAGTTATTTTCTCTTATCATTGAATAGCTAAGTCATTGTTAAAGATAATTATGAACCTTTACCAATATTATCTTTAACTAACCTTTAAGGTTACTCCCACTTAACCATTTTTCATCGTTTCATCCGCCTGTGCGGAATCTTTCCCAGATCCAAATCTCCTCTCTGTCCTCCTCTTTGCCCCTTCGCCTCGTTCCTTGACCCTCTCTTCATCTCCTTAGCCGCCTGTTTCTTATTTCCAACTACGAGAATATCTCTACTATAACTTCTCATATTATCTTGCGTGAAAAAGACGAGCCGTAGCTCAGCATCAAGACGCGTACGACGGTCTTACTATCGCGGTCTGAGAGCTTTTTGAAAAGCTCAAAGATCCCGGTTGGCCAAGAAAAGCCAGTAGATAACCCGGATGCTGACGTGAACAGAAGTTGGATGTTGATTATGATATATAGAAGTGGGATGGATGCCTTCCAGCACAGATGCAAGGAGAACCAACCAGTCTACCTCGGTTTTGGCGGAGAGGTACATTCGTAGGCGAGAGCAGAGACTGAGTTCGGTATGGAGAGTTTGATTGAGGATTATGGCTTGGAGTATGAGACTTTTGGTAATATTGTGGTTGTGTTGCCCATTGGTATTGTTTTCAGCGCCCATATTACAGGCATGCTGGACTCTCGAAGCAGCTGTATGGCGTCTGCAGAAAACTTCTTCATGTCATTCCGCAGTCTGTGGCTTCCTTTTACCATCAAAAGTGAGGATTCTATGCTTGAATTCCAATTCTGCATTTTGGGAGCCAACCAGAAAGCTGAGCCCTCTGCTTGACGCGTGTGTTGTCGTTTGCGAGCGAAGAAATATATCTGGAGACTCTTCGTTGGATCCAGAGTAACATCTAAGCTGAGGTTGTTGATGAAGCTCATCAGTTGCAGCTGGGAGAGCTGTTCGTGCATCAAGACTTGTGCGCTCGAGTTGAGAGCCTGGGCAGTCACCATAGCGGCTTTGAGTTCACAAAGCTCTTGGAACATCTTTGTAAACTTGTTATCGACCTTATCTTCTAAACTCTCTTGCCTCGACATGATGTTCTCCATCACAGAATGCATATCTCGCTGTTCTGCAAAACTACTGAATTGAGATTTAGGAGTAGCTTGTCTAAATCTCTTGGATACTGGAATTATACAGCCTGGCAAAAGTCGTTGTTCTAGTGTTGGTACCAACTTGATTAATAAGTGGAAAGTACTTTGGCCATTATGGTTGTATTTCTTGATCATTTTAACTATGGGTAGCTAGTACTTATATAAGGAAGCGCTATCGCCTCGCTAGCTAATATAATGCCCTCTGTGATCACATGATCGATATTCCGACACCTAGGAAAACTCCTGTCATTGCATTTCCTTTCTACGTTATCCCTTAATGAGGAGTGGTTTTCGAATCCCCACTGTTGCTGGAGAAGCTCTGTAGACATGACGGCCATTCTCCCAAACCAACGTATCTGCAAGACAAAGTGTTCCACCCCAAGCCTGGTTCAATTCCCCAAACAAATCTTTGTAGTTTTGAATAATCTGCTCTTTAGAAATATTCGCATTCGGAGAATTGATTATTGTGCGCCAGGCAAGATTGAAAAGTTCTATGTAACTTTCGAAATATAGTATTCTTATAATCATTTTGCATGACCGAGTTCGTGCACTACCGAGCGATCGCAATAGATCAAACGAGAATGTGCCATTCAGTTCCTCTTCTAAAAGAAGCTGAAGTTGGAAAGGCGGTATGATTATAGTTATAGATTGCAAAATCCATCTCGAACCATTGCGTTCATCGTTGAGATTGATTTGGACATGTTTGACAGAGCAATTCGAAAGTGGCAATCAAATTCTAAAGGTATTTCGAAGTTTCTGATGAGTCTACGAGAAACCCAACTCGTAGATTTGAGGAAACCATGTGCATTATTGATGCACCCAAGTTCAAAGACAGCACGATTCCATAAAAGTTCCTTAACTTCTCGATAGATTTTCGGATGAACTCGCAACAGCGGTGATTTGAACATGCTTCCTGTCAACTTGTTCATTACACAATTAGTTCAAGGCAACATTTAGAAGGATGCCAACTCAAACCCATTGCGTCAAACTTAGATGGGAAGATGAGATCATAGATCATGAGGCGAATTTCGGGAGGTAAACCCACTAAAGAGGCTGGTTTCTACTGTGGTTTTGACCACAACGCTTTCGAGGGTAGATCGGCAGTGCTTTGCCTACGAATAATCCGAGATTTGCTACTATTACAAATCGACATTAAAGAATTCGAGGGACGACCGGTAGTGCTATGTCTGCGGGCGATTCGAGGTCTCCTCTCTCGAAGTAACTTCACTTCCGCAGCCATTAACCCCAACTTCGTGCGCCTCTTTTTCGAGTTAGATTTAAATCCGAGTTGCTCCATGATCAACTGCCAGCGAGTAACCAGCACAACTATATACAATACTGTTGCAACTAAACCACAACTCATATATGCAATTGGCACCAATCGAGGATCGAAAGCTATCATTTTCTCCATGCTAGAAGAACTAAGATTTGATCAAGACGCTATGTGAGGATAGACCAAGAAGAACAAGATGTGATGAAATGAATCAAAATCGATTCGATAGTTTGAAGTCTGAAGGGAATATTCAAATGATATGCTAGGTTAATATGAACTCAATTATGGAATCGAAAGTAATCAAAGTATTATGAAGAATATATCGTATTAAAATATTAAGTAGAAGTTGATTAAGAAAGAGAGAAGAAAGATGAGATAGAATGAAATAAAAGGATTTTTGAAATGATTAAATAGTGTGTGGAAAACTCAAAAGGAAGAGAGAAATTCCCTAAGGGTGTCATATTGACTACTAGGTAAGCTTAAAATGTCTAGCTCCCGTTTTTAGCGTAGATAAGCGAGAATACATCTTGATTTCGAGAGACCATTCAAGATAGAAGTGGTAATTTAAAGAAACTAAGGTAATTAGGAAATAAACCGAACTAACTAGATACCACCATAAAAATTAGCTTCTTGGATTATGAGCAGACGCAAGTGTCTAGCTACATGCGGCCATGGAATACCTGATAATAGATGACACTGGCTCGTCACGTGATCACAACTATTTCTTATTTCGTGACTAATCACCTCCAAAACTATCCATTTCTGCTCCACCAACCTATCAGCTCTAGCTTCATACTCGTCATTTCCTATGAAATCATGAAACTGCCCATTAGTTCCATGTTCCGGTCCCCATTGATCCGTTCCCAACCCATTTCACGTGCATCTCGTCCAATAACCTTTGGACAATCGAATTCTCACGACCAAATCCGCGCTTTCCTAATCTCCACACCCAGAGCTCTCCATACAGAAACCCTTACTTCGAGACAAAAAGCCACTGAAGAGAAGAAATCCCAATCAGATGTGGCCCCACAAAGTACAGTTTCAGAAGAGATTGGCAACTTTGCAAAAAAGGATGCCGGAAATGTCCACCAGCAATCTACGTCCTCTCTTACGGCAGTGCAGGAACCACTTGAACCGCTCTTGAGAGAAAATGGAGGAAAATGGATTTTGACAGATGATGGAATGTCTGTGGAGAGGCTCATTACATTCAAGGGATTTAAAGATGCTTGGGTTTGTTATTTTTCCATCTTTTCTGAGAGCCGAAAAACGCTTGTTGGGATGTATATTTGGGGTGCAAACTGAGGGATCATGGTTGAAAAGACCAGAATTTCTGTGGAGAGCACCTCCCACGAGGATAAAAAGATGATCAGTAATCATCCAATATCTCTCTTCCATACTGTTTTCACCTGAAAATCTACGAAATCTTCACCACTCCCAAACCCATCTGCATACTGTTCCTAAATCCAAGCCTCCAAAAGTCCCCTTCACTAACCCGACACACACTCCCAGAACTTCATGAACGCCATCGCAGCAAAATGTAAACAAGAAAGACATCACCCCGAATGGGTAAACGTAGGTCTCTTGATTCCCCCCAGCTCTAACACCCCCCCCCCCCCCCCCCCCCCCCCCCCCCCCTTCTCTCCAATCCCCTAACACTCCCAGATTTACAACAAGGTGTTCATCCGCTGGACCACGCATGATCTTCCCGGTCTCACAGCCACCGATATCCGTATGGCTACGTTTTGCGACGAGCAAGCTACCATACATAAAGAAGTATACAAAATTTCAGAAGAACCACTCTCAGAAAATACTCAGCACGAAGACTTTCTCAACCAAGCTCATCAGATCGCTGATAAGTTATCGTCGAAATGATGATAATTGATTAGATATATCTAGATTATGAAGACAAAGAAATTCATGGACATATCAGGAGTAAGCGGAAGAACACCTATAGTAACAGAAGACTTATTGAAATGGTAATTGGGGTCCAGGTCTGGCGTGGAAAGATTTCATAATGAGAAACGTCGTACGAAGAAGAATTGAGAGGAGAGAAAAAAGCGAATAAGACCGGAGTGAGGCCAGAATATCTTGATAATCGAAACCCTTGAGAAGATGACACACATGCATTGTGAAAATTCAGGAAACTGTGGTACACGAAAGAGCAATAACTAACTGCATGAATTACATATATCTATTAAGAACGCACCCCAAATTATGTTAACGCAAAGCCCGCCTTAGACTTCTCCCATAACGCCCGAACCACTCAGCTATAACCACATCTCCCTCTGCAAGTTAGCCAAACGAAACACAGTCATCGCTTAGATTCCTTCTCCCTTCTGGCTGCAATCTCATAGAAAAGACTTCCATCATAAATTCTCCTGATATCATCTTTCTTCATCTTTCCATCTTTAGGCGATAACAAATGCCACGTTGCGCTCCCTAACATTCATTAGTACTAATTCCTCACTTTCCACACCCAAGAATCCCCCTCAACAAAATGAGAAAACAAATCAAACATACACTCCAGAAGCGCAGCTGCCCAGCCTAACACATCCAAAACATCTCTCTGACTCTTTACAAACGCAAAAATCTCTCCCTTCGTAACATCCTGCTTATCCCTCCCCGCAAATTTACTGAAGAGATCCTCAAAACGCTGAGGGATAAACCGTCCTTCGTGATCGAATGTTCCGGAATCACTACCGTGTTTACCTTTATGGATATTATCTGTGTGGATTCTGAGCTTGAAATCTGGAATCCATTGTCCAGGGGGAAGAGTCGGATATGAGAAAATGCCATTGATGATCGTGGCTGCGCTGACTGAGAGGAAAGGGCTGAAGCCGAGACGACGAAAACCGTTGTAGGTATCGCGGGGAGAGATGATACCGTCTGAATCGGGGTTGAAGAAAGCGACGTGTTGTTGGAGGACCTGAGTTGAGGTTAGAAGAAGAGATAAAAGGGGGGTTTGTAGAGTGTCCGATAGTCTAGACTAGCGGTCTAGATGTAAGCTGTCAATGTTTCAAAGGAGTTCAAGACTTTGAGTGAAGCCAAAACTTCAAATCAACCGACAAACATCTAAAAATCAAACAGCAGTACAGAATATTGGAGACTCTGACACGAAAGAAACTAACAGTCAAATGCTTATGACGCTCCGCATAATTATCCTCAGTTGTCCCATGTGGTGATTCATAAGAAGCTGCTATAGTTGCTCTCGCAACTCCTACATCATTCCCTCCTATTAGTAAAACTCCCTCATCCACACAGAATAAGAATGCACAAACCTGCTTGAGGCAACCTCTCACTTCTATGCTTCCCAATTGGAAACCCCACCTCGCAAGTGTCGTCCTGCCAAAATGGTATTCTCTCCTCTGTAACAGGACATTCTTCAATCGCCATCTGGAAATCGGGTCCTGGATTTTCGTGCACATCAGGTCTGTGCCAGATGGGAAATCTCTCATCTGTGGTAGGGGGTTTTCTGAATGGCATCTCGGAACTTGGGCCCGAATTCTTGCGCTCGTCGTCGAAGGAACCTGAGTTGGTTCTTGTTGGTGCCATGATGTTTAAGTTAATAATCGTTACTCTGTAATTGTTTGTAGATAACAGTATTTTCTATCTTGTCTCGAGGAAGGAGCAAAGGTACATCCATTTTATATAATTTCTTCCTTGCCATCACCTCCTATTCTATCTATAACATGACTCGATCAAAATGTTCAAAAGAACAACCCAAGTAATGTGATGCCAAAGGATTCATCAGTCGGTCGCACTTAAGACACTGGGTACTGGTCATTTGATATCACATGATTGGTTTAATGAGCAAGACACTCGCTCGGATACTCTGGTGTGTACTAGGTATTTTAAGAACTGTAGCCAATAATTAGTCTATGACGTAACCCAATTAAGCTTAACCCAACCCCTTAGCACGAACATGTTACATGATCCTTCACTTGACATGTGGTATAAAACTATGGTACGGTGCACATGTGTGAACCTTGGGATTACAACAAAGTAGAAAACTTTGATTGCTTGTAGAGATGGTTTTTCTTTTGGCAGGACATACTTTTTTCCCCCAATCATTTGAATGAGTTTAATCTCCAGCATGTGAGGAAGATGTAACACGATACCAGGTATCAAAAGTCACGAATGTTTCTCCGATGACCTCTTACACATGTATCAATACAGCACCTACTACTCGAGTAGAGTTTCGTAAGACTTTACATTATCCCGTCAAGGACTGAAAGCTGCCATGACTGAAAAAAAAAAGGCTCGAAAACGATAGCGTTCTCATCACATCAAAGTTCTTCAATGTCTGAATCGTTGTTGACTATTAAAGGCAGGTACCTGTCGAGTCGGATGAGGGGTAACGCCAAGATCGAATTCTGTTGCAATAGAATTGCCTGTGCTTCTGGTCGTTCCATTCTTAATTGCACTTTGAAAGTAGCCTGAAAATCTGATTTCCCCTCATAGCGAAGTATGTCTTCGTCGTTCAACGATTAGCTGTACCGCAAAATTTCCAAATTTACCACTATTCTCCTTTAGCCCACCTCTCAAATTCCGCCACCATTTCTGGAGTTATTTGCCTCTTAATCTTGTTAATTGCCGCGAGGAAATCGTCCATGACCGCTGGTTCCATTGTCCCATGCTTTTTACGTCTTTCGATGGCCTTATCGAAGGCTTTCTGGCAAATACTGACCATTTCAGCTCCTGAATACCCCTCTGTTAGGTGAGCAAGTTCGGCTACGTCAACATCATCTCCCATGGTAGATTTACGTTGTCTAGCACGAATGATAGCTTCTCTGCCGGCGAAATCTGGTGGTGCAACGTAGATGAGTTCGTCGAAGCGACCTGGTCTCAAGAGAGCTAGGTCTAGATCTTGTGGTTTATTGGTTGCTGCTAGTACGGTAACACCCTTTAAACTCTCAATTCCGTCCATTTCGTTAAGTAAAGTTGTGAGAACGTTGACTCCATTATTTGAATTCTTTCCATCTCTTTTGCTACCAATCGATTCAATCTCGTCAAAGAAGATGATACTTGGAGCTGCAGCTCGTGCACGAGAAAAGACGTTACGAACTGCTCTTTCAGAGTCACCGACATACTTGGAGAGCAGTTCTGCGCCTTTGACGGCAAAGAAGTTGAAACCCATTTCGGTAGCAACGGCTTGAGCGGTGAGTGTTTTGGAACATCCAGGAGGTCCATAAAGAAGAAGGCCTTTTGTTGGTGAACGGCCAAAGTCTTGCATAATTTCTTGGTGCTGTAGTATTGTCAGTATGAATTGAATTCTCCAGATGCTTTGAATTTCTCAAGTCGTTTGAGTATCTCTTCTTATTTGATCGTCTCAATATATTTGAGCGTCCAAAATGATACGAGTATCTCAGTTGATTTGAATGTTTGGAATGGGGCAAGACCATGAAATGGGAAATAGCTTACGAGGAAAGGTGTTTCAATAGCAAGCTGAATAGCTTCTTTGACTTTGTCTTGGCCTCCAATATCACTCCACTTTACCTTTGGTGGTCTTAAAGTAATATCATGCATCGCACTTGGTCTGACCTCCAGAAGTGCATGCTCGATGTCCTCTTTAACGACAAATATCTGCTGGGGCACATTATCTTCATCTAACTTCTCTTCTGCAAAGAGTTGTGCTTCGTCCAATAAACGAGAGAGATCCTCAGGTGTATATGCATGTGTTCGTTCTCCGAGATCATCGAGAATCTCATCGCGAGTTTCAGGGCACATTTGAGGATCCAGGGACTTGAGAATAGCTTTCCGAGCAGCTGCATCTGGGACAGGTAAAGCAATAGCTGTAGTAAATCTGCCTCGCTTTCGTAATGCAGCTGGTAGTTTAAGCATGTCAGATGTCGACGCTGCCACCAGAACTTGTGGCAAAGAATCCGAGGGATGATCTTTCATAAGATCCTCTAATCCTTCACAAATAGCATCTGTCATATCGAGTAATGGCTCGCCCCCTTTTGCGACCACAGACTCAATATCATCTATAATTATGATACTTGGCTGGTTGACTTTTGCATCCTTGAAGATTTTTTGCACTTCAGATGGTTTGGTTTTCCGGTCAATTTTGCGAACCTTGCCCCATTCTGTGCTGGCAATTTTATCCAGGACGAAAGTCTTTCCTGTTCCACTTCCACCATGTAAAAGAACAGCTGGTGACCTACGAACTTTAGTAAAATAAAACTGACGGTTAAAATTGCTCAGGAATTTGTTAAGTTTTCCAAGCGCTTGATCAATGCCTGCAATATTAACAACTTGAAGAGGTTTTTGCTCAACATTGCTTGCAGCTAACATGGCTCCGCTGATTTCTGCGATTGTTCCAATTTTGAAAGAAGATACCCCTTCATGAAAGGCAGCAACACCAGATTTCGAGCCGTCGATAGAAAACACTTCAAAGGTTCGCCTTTCTCTTCTAAGCATCACATCTCTAAAGGTCATGCCAGGGTAAACCAACTCAGCGCGAGCTGTAATTTTGTCAGTCATGCACTGAGCAAAGAAAAATGTGAGATCAAAAACTCTCGGCTTTCCGAAAGTACAAAATCAGATGATACAATGGAAAAACTCCTACCTAAGAGATCGTCTAGAACAAACTTCCAGGCAACTTCAGCGTCTCCTGTCAGTTCCCGCATAACCCCTTCAACCATACCGACATCCTTGATCAGGATCTCCTTCGCAACCTCCAGCTTTGCTCCTCTGGCAACAATAACATCATCACTTAATTTGAACCCACATGCCTCTTGGAAAGCCTTACTGACTTGCACAACTTTCCTACTTAATTTTTCTGTGGCCAACCAAATTACCGCCTCTCTTCTCGTATGTTCGCCCTCAGAGCTTTTCCATAAATAGCACGTTTCTCCGTTTTTAACTTGAAGATCCAAAAGAACGTCTGTACAAACATATACACGTGCTACATTTCTGAAATCCGGTCTTTCTTGAGATTGCGCTTGATATGGACGAACTTTTAGTTCTAGAAGTTTCTCGGCTGTCATCTTGACCTCTTATATAAATGTCCCAGAATATCTTGAACAGTCAAAATACTGATCTTACGTATTTGAAGAAAAAGAAAAAATGAACAAGGAAAAATATAAAAGTCTGGCCGATGGAGGGGTGGAAAGCAAAATAAAATTATGGTCAGCCTTGCCAAGGAACATGGGTATATCTTTGAATTGTGCTTTACCGCTTTCATTCTGCCGATCAAAGTTCCCCAAACCAATTAATTTTCCCCAACCCGTCCAGCCTTGGCCCCCTCTTCAACCATCCTTCTCATGACCAATGCACTCCTCCCGCCTTCTCCCCCCCTCATTCCTCCTCCCATCATGGAATACCCGACAACTACAATGTCTCTTTCAACGGCGTCACGTATACCAAAAGACACGCATTCGCAACCGCAACGGAGAACCTCCAAACCCAAAAGGTGAATCTCTCTTTGGAGTACGACGTCTCGACCTTACTCCAACTATTAAACCACCTACTTCTCTTTTCGAAGAGCTCTTCCCAGAAGAACAACAGAAACCTCCTTCATCTTCACCGCCCTCCAAACGTTTCAAACCTCCACCTCCGAGGTTTCCAAAACTGCCTACATTTGACTGGACATCTAATATCGAGACATTTGACGAAGCGGAAGTGCGGAGGCGAGCTGCGGAGAAAGAGAGGAAGGATTGGAATATTCTTGGAAAGGAGAGAGGGAGTGAGGAGGAGGATGCCGACCAAAGGCGGGAGGCTAGTGTTTTGATTTTGAATTGTGCGAGTAAGACATTGGAGGAGAGTGACTTTTTCAGATTGAGTCCGAAGGGTGAACATATTGAGGGTTGGACGAGTGGCATTATTAAGAGTATGTACTCCCTGTTTTATAATTCTATTATGTCTATGGCAGCACAGCTTTGTTTACATATAGCTAACTCTGCTTTCAGTTATCCCTGGGCGCGATCCCCAAACTCTCGAGTCCCTCGGCCACTACTTCATTCTCTTCAGTTCACGCGCTGCGGCTCTGGCCTACTTCCACCGAACTATTGAACTACACACTCTCTCCAGAACCTACAGCCCTAACAACATCCCTCTCCCACCTCAATCCTCCAACCGCTCCTCTCGAAGCCCCGATCGTCCCCCTTCAACTCTCCCTCACTCCCCAACCGAACTTCAAAATCTTCTCAAGAACTTTACCCTCGTCCCCCCATATACACGTCTTTCTCTACGCATTCTTCAAAAACCTTACCGACCAGCGATGACCACCCTCTTAGCAACGGGCGCTCCCACCACGCTCACACAATCCCGATCTCAATCCCACACCATCGACACTGTCCTCTTCACTATCACTATTCCCAGCATTGGACTCAGTTCCTGGGGTCTTCGAGAGATCCTCGACGCAGACGGTAAACGTCGCAACCTACACTGGCGCTTCGCTCAATCTGGGGCCATTGTTCGTGTTGGCGAAAAGATTGATTCTGCAACTGGAAGTGAAAAAACAGAAATAGGTTATCGAGGAGAGAATATTATCGGAAGGAAAAAAGCTTATAATACGAGTGGAAGATATATAATCTCATTTATGGATCGAGCTGAAGCGAGAAGATTTGTGAGAGAATGGCATAAGAGACCATGTCCGTTGCAAAAGGAGTATAAGGAGGGAGATGAACCACCTCCAATTGCTAATGTCGAGATTATGTGGTAGTGAGGGACGGAAAGTGGAAAGGGGAATGTCTTGGAACTAGAGTGAAGATGTGAGGAGCTCGTGAAGGAGTTCTACGGAAGTGATGTTAGTGGTGATTGGTCACTTATTGAGAAATCGAAAGAACGAAGACACTCTTCACATCACATTACATCTCATATCGTCTCACCACTCGAGCCAGCGAATCACTCAGAGACACAGTGAAGTCATGGTGAAATTAAGATGGTACAAGAACACTTGCGCGCGCGGAAGAGTAAGAGGAGAGAATTAGTGCAAGGGAGAGCATCAATATCAAGGCATGATATAATATACCACAATATACCAAGATGAGAATAAACATAGGCGTGGAAACACAAGACCCAATCATCTCGCAATATTACCATATCAATGAATTTCAGTTCTTGCTTGAAGAGATATATAATCACAACCTATCTATCCATCTATTTAGTATATGAACACAGTTGTCCCTACCAAGATGTACTCATACACATCTTGAAGTTAGTATGTAGGAAAGAAAGAGAAGTAGTATGTATGAAAACAATGAACAATATAAACATACATTATAAAGATGATAGACATATTCTACCTTTCTATTTGACTCACACACTCACTTACCTACTTACATCTTACATCCTATCCAACCCATTACCTATATACTAGATACCCAATCTGATGGTTCGAGGATCTCTATGGGAGATCTAAAGGTACTTGTCAACCAGATTACTACCTCCCTACTTAACACACTCAACCCAACCCCCTATTCCAGCGCCAATCCTCAGACCCTAATCCTTATATATCAACTCACCACCCTCTTAATTCATAACCTCCTCATCTTCTCGCCTCCTGCAATCCTCTCTCCTTCAAGTCCTCTTCCCCTCAAGTTCTCTTATATATATACGTTCTCTATATATTCCTTCTCCCCTCCTCTCATACATACACACACTCTCCTCTCCTCTTCTCCTCTCCTCTTCTCCTCTCCTCTTCTCCTCTCCTCCCCTCTCCTTCCCTCTCTCTCCTCCCCTCCCTAACCATACATAAAAGCCCACATCTAACCCCATATAAATCCCCCATCTCAAAAACCTACACATCCTCACATCACAAAACTAACATTCATCCATTACCTCCTCGACTTCTCATGACTCATTACCTCAATTTTCCACACCCATTGCTCGCCTCCCGCCAATCCTCAGCTTCTCACCTCTCCTGTCCCCTGTCCTATATACACTTCCCCTCCTTGGGGATATATACTCCCTCTCCTCTCTCTTCTACATATGCTTTCTACACACATTTTATCTCCTCTCCTTTCCCTTTTTAAGTATATATACATAGACCTATATAAACCCTTGTGAGTGTTATAACACATACACAGCATCATCATCCCATCACTAATGATCATCATCCTCACATGCCAGGTACTCATCACTATCACCACCGTTATCATAATCACAATCACGAAATCACCATTCAAACTCCTCACCATCATCAACACAAATCATAATAATCAACATAAAAAAACAAACACGCCTATCAATTTAATACCATATAAATACGCATAATCACCCAACTCCGGCTTCTCTCTTGATAAAAAAAAAAGGTAAAAAGTAAACAGAGAGCAATGGTTATGCACTACCAACCCACAAACACCATTGTATTGCCTTTCGTCTCGCACTGTGCTTAACCACTGTCCTTCCTTCCCAGTCCTTGCTTGCTTCTTCCCACTTCTCATCTCCTATCCTCTCCTCTATAGAATCAAATCATAAAAGAATCTCACCACCCCCTTTGCTTCCTCCGCAATCATATCATATCATATTATATCATCGAGCTCCTTCCCCCAGACAACACAACACCCCTTCTCTAACAACATTTACTTCCACCTCCACTACTTTGACCACCCACATCAACACCTTGTTGCGCCGCCTGATCTATCTTACTCGTATCCACGATTCTCTTCTTGATGTCTGCCGCCAAACTATAGAATGCTTTTTCTACATTAATGTTACTCTTGGCGGATACCTCGAGGAAAGGAATGCCGAGTTCATCTGCTAATTGTTGACCGCGTTCGGTAGATACAACTCGTTTGTCTTCCCAATCGCACTTGTTGCCTATGAGGATCTTGTTTACACCTTCGGTGGCATGTTGTTCGACGTTGCTGAACCAGGTGCGAATATCTAGGAGAAGGATGTTAGTAAGATTCTTTTGACGATATGTATTTGAACGTTGTCCTGTTGGATCCCCCTTTGCTGCAGAAAGGTAGCATTCATCCATTCGTCATCCCCATCGATCTTCCCGGTCCAAACCACGACATGACATCACCTCCTCTCACACTCCCATCTCCAATCCACAAACGAAAAGGAACAACGTACTGGTAAAAGATCTCTCATCAGTAACATCATAAACAAGCAAGATGCCCATGGCCCCCCTATAATACGCCGTGGTAATCGTCCTAAATCTCTCCTGACCCGCCGTATCCCAAATCTGCAACTTCACTCTCTTTCCATCCAACTCAATTGTACGAATCTTGAAATCAATTCCAATCGTGGTGATGAACGAAGGCGTGAAACTATCCTCGCTGAAACGCAAGAGACAGCATGATTTTCCCACACCCGAATCGCCTATCAAAAGGAGTTTAATCTATGTGCACAGAGAGCATGTAAGCATTTGTATGTATCTCTGCATGTGCATATGAGTTGGGAATTGAATAGGGGAAGTAGAAGAAAGGTCTTGATTGATAAACAGATGGATGGGTTGATTAGAACCCAGGTTCATCAACAACCTCCCCAACCATCCAACCACCCGACCGTCAATCCCACATACCAAAAAATCGTAATTCCTGGTTCCGGCCATCGTGTCTGAAATCGCACTCGAGTAGGGAGCTCAAGTACCGTCTGTTGAATATTTGGATAGCCTTGTAAATGCGGCGTTGTCAAATCCACAAGATCTGATCACTTTCGTGCACTTCGTCCGTGTCCTTAGTTTCCTTTTGCTGGGCCTCTGGGTCTGGTCTACAACCTGGCACCGAATTCGAATCGTCTACCGTAACGAAATCAGATCGCTGGAAGAAATGTGTGGGGTACAGGGTGCTGTGGGTCGAGAAGATGTTACTTTATTTATCGTGTGTAAAGGAGGACGTTGCGTTCTGGTTTATATGTAAAGTAAAGAGGTGATACGAGATATCGATTGCGAGAAGTGCCGGTTTGGACAGGGGTTTCAAAAGATTCACTTGGATGGACACTTTCTCTTCTACCCGTGTCGTGATTGATCTCAAGACAAAACAGCACCTGTAATTTGTTATAATGCGTAATTCCTACGGCTCTTTCCTAATGAATCATGGGAATTGGTTGATTCTTGAAAATCTGGATAGGGAAGTATGTACCTATAGATGTATCAATTTAAGATTCAGTACCTACCTACCTAGTCGGGTACGTCCGTTGTCCGATGTTAAACGAGTATGCGGCGTGCGCGTCTACTGTGGCGTTTGTTAACCAATCCATCCATGTGTCTCATCTATCAAGTACGTACGGTGTACAGAATCAAATCTTTGTCCCAGAGCCTTGGAATGTTATATCAATAAATTAGATAGGTACGGGGTTGATACTGACACCTTCAGACCAATTGTCCTGGACCCTTGATTCTCACACCATTCACTAGGTAGATACACACCCCATCCCTAGTATCCTCATACAGCTTATACGATACAAGTTACTCCAAACTTTAAATATACAAAGCTAGGTATATCTAGGACAAGTAAACTTCAAAGGTTCACACTTCTAATAGTTGGCTCTTCAAGTGGTCAAGTGCATATACCTAATATTATATCTCTCCTGGAGAAAGTCTATCTGCGATATACCTAGGTACTTATTGGAAGTTCGGTCTGATGTCAATCAACAGGGCGGTGCTAGAATCCAATACTAGTAATCTTACCACTCATCCCTAAAATATATTTCCAAGTATTCACATATCCATACATCAATATTGCACACAAATACGTACGATCAAATCTTGATAGCTACTAAATTAGAGTATTCTCAGTCTTGCGACTAGGTCATCATTTCTTTATCTATGCCATGCCATACCATTCAATCCCGTCATCTAATCATATCATATCATATCATAGCATACAAATATTCATATCCATGTCAATATCACTCGCGATGCAAATATTGCTCTCTCCTTTCTCCATCCTCCTTTCTATACTGTACACTCCACCCAGAATCCACCTCTCTATCTCCTTCCTCCCTCCCCCCCTCCCTAAAACTACCTCAACCACCTCCCATAACTCCACCTAATCCTCTCCAAAACCTTAAGTTGCACCTGAATACCACTATTGATATTACAAAGATCTCCCACATCCTCCAAGAACTCTCTCTCCACATCTCCAGGAAACAAACTATGAGCTCTCTTCCTCAGAACATGAACTTCACACAGCAATAATCCATGATCTTTATACGATAGCAAGTTATTCTGCGTAGGCGTGGCAATCGTAAGAATCCGATCGATATTTCTCAAAACCCTCGCAGTTCGCCCCGCCCTTTCACCTCGTCGAAGTCCCTTGCGTGAGCCGAGTAATGTTCCAAAATATCGGAAAGTCGCGAAACAGACCAAAACACCAGGAGTCAGACCTAAAAAGCCAAATACAAGCTCTTGACTCTTGAGTAGCGCATCGATACCGCTTAACGCAACCTCCACATCAACTTTAGTCTTTTGTACTTGGATCAAAACTGTTCTGATCAAGTCTCCTCTGACGGTTCCTACAAATGGTCGTTGCATATCCTTTTCGTAAGCGCGAAGAACGGGTGTGAGATCACCTGCCTTGACTTTGGCTTTGATCTCAGTGATTTGTGAATCGGTTAAAGCACCCGTTCCGTAATTTGCGGCTTCTGGGTTGTCGCGAGCGAAATCTACCACCATTCTTTCAAGACTATCCATGTCGCCCTTTAGACTCTCTTTACTCATAATAGCCACTTCACTATCCTTGTCATGGCGAATTGTCCCGATAACCTTTAGAGTAGGCTCAACAACCCAATTCATCCAGAAATCTTGAACTGTAGATCCAAGTTCTCTGATCCAGGTAAGAACCTCTGCTTTTCTGTTTACCAAAATTCGTAATATGGTCGAAGACGAAAGTAACAACATGCTAGCCGGTAACCAGTATCTAACGAGTCTTGAAGGTCGTCCATATTCCGAGACAAGCTTTTGTGAATTCGTAATGTGCTTCGGTACATGTGTAGAGAGGATGTACTGCAATCTCCTCGACACCTTACTCGTCCTCGATGCTTGTGAATTGTCCGCACTCGAAATCTCTGGGTCATCCTCCACACTGGAAAACACGGTATCCTCGAAATCCGAAACTCCTTGATCGAGAGCCGTAACATTTCGAAGCACATTATCCATCAGCGCCACACTCCTCTCCACCACATCTTTCCACTCCGAGTTTTCTGACTCCTCGGCTTTTAAACCCGCACCCTCTTCATCGATATCAAAGCTCAACGCTTCATCCATCAAAACACCCAACCCACTTGCTCCCATCTCCCTAAACCTCTTCAACCGCGCCTGATTCATCTTCGCCTTCGACCTCCCCAACGCAACCGGACTCATAACTCTCTTCTGCACCTCCACCACACTCCTCTCCCTAATACTCTCCCTCACCAACCCATAAAACATACTCCATTGCCCCGCGACACCCTCTCTCACATCTCTCCCACCCTTTCTAACCGCACTTCCCGGCGCTTCCTTCAAATGCACCAATCGCTCCCTCGAATCACTATAAATATCCTTCCCCCAATCCCACAATCTCTGCGGCGAAGTCTGTATGGTGTATAGTCCCGAATATGTATACGATCCGAGCACTTCATCCCAATACCAAATATCATCACTGAGCGGAATCGTTTGTTCCAGCAGCGTATTCAATATCAACCCATATGTTTGCACCGTCGCCTTACTAACCAACAACCACTCCAATTCCCTCTCATAGTTCTTCAAATAAGCATTTACACCTGCTCTCTCATTCTTATATTCCCTTTCCTCATCTTCCTCATCCTCATCATCTTCATCCTCATCCTCATCCTCATCCTCATTCTCCTCAGTCTGCACCGACCCCTTCAAATCAGCCTGTTCCAACAACCGACTAATCTTCCCGCCCGAAAGCAACGCGCTAGAACTCGACGTCGTACTCAATGCCTTGACCAGCGCCTGCAACTCCGCTATGCGCAGCGACGAAGCAATCTTTGCATGTTGGGCGGACACCAGATTTTCATCTGCGGGGTAAGGGAAGGGAGCGAGTTGGACGCGGTCGAGCTGAGCGTCGACTTTTCGTATTTGGCTATTTGGACGATCCTGTTAGCAATTTGTTTGCGGAATCAACTCAATATGTATTTGAAGAAAAAATGCAAATCCCCGAGCATTGAAAACTCCCAACCAACAGAAATACATTTCAAAAACTCTCCCGTTACACAAGACCCATCTCTCGACCAAAGCAATCCCATATGATATCCAAACAACCCCTCACACAACCCCACAAACACCCTTCAAAAACTTCAAAAACTTCAAAAATACAAACCAAAGACAAAGCCAAAAACAAAATAAACAAAACACCTCCCCAACCCAATAGATAAATCAATCAATAAACAGACAAAATCACTTACTCTGCAACAATCGACATCCTGCCACCACCAACATCGATATACAACTCTTTAGGATCCGAAAGCTCAGGATCTCAATGTGGGTTGTAATGTGCAAGACAAGCTTGGGCAAGGTTCTAGGATGATTGATTGTTGGAGAGCTCGCTCGCTTATGTACGATTGAAAAAATGACGCAGCGCCGCCTGGCAGTTTGGATAACGGCTAGTTTATAGGTGAAAACACGAATGATATTGTTTACATTCGAGTGAAGTGTGTTAATATTATAATATAATAAGTATGAAGAGAAGATCGTTTCTAGGCTTTAAACAATTACGACGTGATAATATAGGTAGTATGACGAATTCTCGAAGCGCCAAGATCTGGCATCACGTAGGTTGGAGATGGGACGGGTTGAAGTCTGTCACTATCCACCAGCTGTTACGCTCGATAAAGGAGCCAAAAGGCTTCTGATATTCAAAATCTATATAATCGATATGCTCTACGAATTCTACACCAATATAAGTACAAACCCCATTCTAAATCCTCAAAATGGGCTTCCGGCTATTGATTCCGGCTATTGATTCCGGCTCATACTCATCTTGCTCACCCGAACTCACATTGTCGTCCTCAACATCATCCCAGTTATTAACTTCTTCTTGGGACTGTGATTTCTGCGCATCGAGAGCCATAGCTCTTTCCATGATTTCAAGAGTCTTATTTCTAGCGTCTTTCTTATCTTTCTGATCATCTCCACGCATCATTGCAAAGATCGTATGAGCTTCTTCGATAGCCTGAAGAAATGTATTCAGTCTTGGACCGAGCTCCCTTTTCCTCAAGGACGTTCGCGTGTTCTTCAGTATGCCTTTCATCCGTGGGTCTGGTACGACTTGATGGACGGATAACATATTTGTGATCCAGACGATTCCTCTAGGTTCTTTCATACCAATGTAAGCTTTAAGAAGGATAGTAAGATTGATCACATTTGGTCGAACTGTTGCGCTATGAGTCTGCGAGACCTCGGTCCAGAATGCTATTGCATCTCGAAAGTATCCATTTCGGACAAGGATATTAGTAACTTCATTGAACACAGGTTCTGGTACAACAAGCCCATGCTCCTCCGCCTTGATGATTGCTTCTCTGGCCGAAGTCAAGAACATGATTAGACGACTGCTTCCAACACGCTCCATGAAGCTTGGTAGTCGGTGAGTGAGGAGCGTAACAAGAGCA